GCTGCTGCCCCCTGGGCCGCACAAGGCCCCCGAAGGCAAGGCAGGAGCAACACGTCGGTCCCTGGACGACCTGTCGGCGCCGCCGCACCACCGCAGCATCCCCAACGGTCTGCACGGTAAGGACTACACGGGCCGCGCAGCGCGGGTCTCCCTGGCTGCAGTCCCTTCCCCAGGCTGCGGCGAGAGGAGGTGGTCCCTGGCGGTCCCACGCGTGCGGCCGCCACTCCAGACTCCTCCTCCAGCTGTCATGGATCCTGGACCAGGGGATCCCGCACCAGGGGATCCCGCACCCACCCAAAGTAGGGCTTTGGGCGGTTGTGGGCCGGTCCAGTGGTGGAGCGTCTCTCTGTTCAGCTCAGAACCTGCTGCCAGTCCGGTCCCAGGAAAGTTTCTAGTGGGTGTAGTTGCCAAAATTGGCGTCTGTCACTGCTGGGCTGGCGGTGGGCGCCTCATCCCAGTCTTGGAAATCCTTGCCTAGTAGCGGGAAGTTCTGAACAGAAAAGGATACAAGGCCTCTTTGAGCGCAGGTGAATTTCCCCTCTTGCAGCAACAGGTGTCCTCCAAGCCAAGCAGTGTCCACGTGTGTGCAGTGGCTGGAGTTCTGCAGTAGGGTGCGGGGATTGGAAGGGTGCACAGGCAGCTGCTTGACACCCAGGGGCAGCTGGGAAGAGGCCTGGGGCTCAGAGCCTTTCTGGTTTGCCATAAATTCCGCCCTTCTAGTCCCGGGACCTTTCTCAGCCGAGACTCTAAGACTTTCCCGAGGGAGATGTATTTAGAACGGATTCTAGTTTTTCTCCTCTGTCTATCTCCGTTTCTTTGTCTGTAAAATGGAGATGATGACCTCTGCCTCGTGGATTTGAGGTGGAGATAAACTGTCTGAAGGGATTTATAAACTGTTGGTCGCCTTATAGGAAGTGCCATGGTCATCCGTGACCAGGGTGTGGGTGGGTGGACCTTTGGCCTCTGTCAGCGCCTGTCTTCCACGCCCATATTACTGCTGCGCCCAGTGCAGAGGGTGGCCCCAGCTTGGGGCTGTGGGAGCCTGCAGCCTGCTCCCTCTCCCAGCCTCCTGCTCAGCCCTTCTGCTCCCTGCCGGCTTTCTCGTCCCTGCCGGTGGATCCAGGGCCTCCCTGTTCTTACACGTTTTTTGGTTGCTTGGCTTCCAGTTCTGCCGGTAGTTACAACTGCCTGAACTTTTTGCCTGAAGGTGGAGAATGAACAGCCCTTTCTGGTTGCCTTTAAAGCCTTTCCTAATTCAGAGAAAGTGTGTCTAGGCCTGAAATAACTGCCCTCCCCAGGACCCCTCAGCCTGAGGTGGGGAGGGACGTTTTCTCCTTGGTTTGGTGGCCAAGTGGCCTCTGCAGGCGTGATGGGGTGGGGGCTGGGGTGGGAGACATATCCATGGAGGTGGGGCGGGGGCAGTGCAGCATATTTTTCCTTTATTTACCATCCTGAGCCTGTGGGTTCAAGGTAGGACTGACTGGGTTTAGAGGGATATTTTGTTACTGATTAGCAATCTATGGCTACAACTCAGGTTTCTCTTTGTAACACTGTATCCACCCCCACCTCCCACCACAGGCTGCTTGAGGGCAGTGAGAGTAGTGCAAAGTTAGGTGATTTAATTCATTTTGGGGCTGTTTAGAGTACCTCAACCCCTTTGACTTCGCGGTCCTGGGGGGCTTTTGAAGGGTCAGTTGTCTGGGCCTCGGTTTCCCCAAGGGCAGTACAAAGGAGCAGACTGCTGCAGTCTCGTGGCTGGAAAATGAAATGTTTCTGGTTTTCAGCTGCGTCATCAATGACACTTGGCGAGAGTGCCTCTCTGCAGGACACTGGAGGGCTGGAGTGTTTAGCGCATACTTGCAGGAAAGTCTCTGTCATGTTTTGGGCAAAGAGATGAGGCCCCAGTCTGGCTCAGCGTGTCAGCTGCGAGAGTGAATAATACAGGAGTGGAGGACTAGGCTAGACCGAGTTTTCCACCCCACTGGGGACCAGTGGGGGGTTGAAGTATAGGGTTTCCCACAGAACCCATCCTCCCCCAAGTCCACTTAGCACAGGACTGCTGCAAATGTTGTGGCAGCAAACCTTTGCTCTGGGGTGAAATGAAAATTCAGCATTATTATTACAAATTTCAGTTACAGTTGGAATTATTATTATTAAGTTTTGTCTCTTAAAGACACATGTGGCCTTGGGGTGTTGTCCCACTAATATAAACGGAATGCTTGGAAACCAGGAAAGGCCCTTCTCTTAGAAACTGAGTTTTTCTTCCTTCCCTCCCCCCCCCCACCCTTTTTTCAAGACAGGGTGTCACTCTGTCACCCAGGCTGGAGTGCAGTGGAACACTCATGGCTTGCTACAGCCTCAACCTCCCAGGCTTAAGTGATCCTCCCAGCTCAGCCTCCCAAGTAGCTGTGATTAGAGGTGTGAGCCACCTCTCCTGGTGAAACTGGGTTTTTCTGTTCTGGGACTTGTAGCTTTAAATTGAACAAAGGTTGGGCCTGAGCTGAGGGAGATGATGAATCTCTCTCTGGGTGGTGTCAAAAGTGGGGTCAGACACCAGGCGTGCGCCTCATGTGCTTGGTCTTTGCTTCTCCTCAAAAGAACCTTGGGGAAGCAGTATTATCCCCATTTTACAGACAAGCAAGTGGAGGCTTAGAGGGGTTCCTAGCCTTGTCTGGGAAGGTGGCTGACATTGGAAGTACCTGTCCTGGGTGGGTTTGCTGCCATGATCATCTCCTGTTCAGGCCGTGGGTCTGAATCTGTTGTGCCCTTGGCCTGTTGTCATGTTTGCTGTTACTATTAATCAGGGGACACTGGTGACTCCCTATTCTTGATTCCTGACCCAGGTTTGCCCTCTTTCTCCCGTGCTGGGAAGTGTCACTTCCTTATCAATGACCCCTGAGCAGATGGCTGATAACCCCATTACCCAGAGGCTCAGGGTGTCTTGAGTTTGAATCTCAGCTCCTCCATGTATATTGGGCAAGTTATTAACTGGCCAAGCCTCTCTGTGGTCCTCTTCTGTAAGGTGGACAGAACCCAGAGTACCCCATTATCCACACAAGGTTGAATGAGGTCAGGATCTACACACAGTAGGTTTCTCCTGTTGTTAGAGTCCTTGGGGCTCTCCCAGCACACCTCATTTTCCTCTTCAAAAGTGCTTGCTGCTTAGACAGCTCACCTGAATGTTTGTGTCTGAGCCTCTTGTGTGGCCACGCTTGCTGATGAGCTAGTGAGGACAGTGACCCTGCTCTCCTTTCTGGGGAGCTGGTGGCAGTTGCAGCCCTGCTGGGTACCCTAGGAGGACTCTAGTGGCTGAGGTGGGAGGTGGCCCATCTGTATGCAAGGCAGCCCTGGCTGAGGCTGGCCTGGCGGGCCTGTGTATTGTGTATGTACATGCAAATAGGCTTTTCTCCTTGGCTGCTTTATTTGTTTGTTTGTTTATTTATGTATTTATGCATTTATTTATTTTGAGACAGGGTCTCACTGGTCACCCAGGCTACAGTGCAATAGCACTACCATGGCTCGCTGCAACCCCAACCTCCTGGGCTCAAGTAATCCTCTTGCCTTGGCCTCTTGAAGCTGCGGGGATGACAGGCATGTGCTACCATGCCCAGATAATTGTTGAATTTTTGTAGAGATGGGAACTCACTATGTTGCCCAGGCCGGTCTCGAACACCTGGGCTCAAGCAGTTCTCCTGCCTTGGCCTCCCAGAGTGTTGGGATTACAGACATGAGCCACTGCACCTGGCCTTGGCTGCCTTTGGTAGACGTCTGGTCTGGGCTGACTGGACTTGGGACTGGGGTGCGCTTTGCTGTAGTCCAGTGTGGCACACTGAGGCAGGTAAACCCCAACACCAGAAAGTCAGGTTCTCCTTCATGAACTGATAGAATTTTCAAACACAAGAATTTTCAGTTCTTTTCCCACCTGCCCCTCCGCCTATCTCCTGTGCCCCACCACAGGCACCACGCCCCCCTCCTGCCCATTCCCAGGCATTTCCTCCCCTCCCCTGATAACCTCCTCCTCCACGGTCCACTCCCCTTTAGCCAACCCAGAGGAACCAGGATTCTAGCAAGCCTGTGGATGAGCCCCATTTACCTTTTAAAGTTTGGATTAAAATTTTGAGCTTCTCAAAATGAGACAGGTTTGTTCTCCTGCTTGTGTTTTTGTTGGTTTAAGTGGGAGGATGGAACAGGGTGGTCTAGGCCTTTAAAAAAAAGAGCACGCTAACTCTGAATAGGTCTTTTCTGTGCAGCAGCTCGGCTAATAAGGCTGCTTTTCCTAAACCCAGCTAGGCTGGGGAGCAAAGGTCAGTGAAGACAATGGGGTGGGTTAGATAAGCCTTTCCCCCTCCTCCTTCCCCAGCCTGTCCCAAGGGATCCATCAATGGCTTTGGGATGCTGTGTCTCAGAAAGGAGGGCTGGCCTTGAGAGGCTCCCAGGCAGGTGACCCAGGGGTGGGTAAGCTGTGCCCGGCGCTTCACAGTTTGCCACAGACAGCATCCCAGTCCCAATTCCATTCTGTTCAGAGCTTCCAAATGGTCCCAGGAGGGAGACCTCAGCACCTCCATATCTTAGATGGGGAAACCAGGGCTACTAGGAGTAGTGGTGCGGTGACTTGCTCTAGGTCCTGTGGGGCTGGTTGGGGGGCCTGGGATGCGTCTTCGGTTTCCTGTGTCAGAGTTCTGAGCCCATGGCCCTGTGCCTGCTGCCCAGGGACTTCCAGGGGAGCGGTGACCTCTGCCACAGAGACAGTGCACCTCCTCCTAGGATGCCAGGCCCTGGGCCTCATTCCTGTCTCCCTGTGTCTTGGCATGGAGGAGTGGGGTGAAGGCGGTGCAGGGTGGGCCACCTTCCCTGCGATGGCTGTGCCTTCCCACCTCTTGGTTTCTCTTTCCCTCACTTCTCTGCACGAGGCTGGCTTACCACCGCAGCAGTCGCCCCACCAGAACTCTTGCTCAGGCCTGGCCTGTGAGTTCCCAGGACCAGCACATGATACACAAGGAAATCAGTGGTTTGCTCCTAATCTGTTTTCCGCCCGTGGGGATTTTCCAATCCATGCTTGTTGCCTTCATTTGCGCAGAGAATTGCAAGTCTGTTAGGCAAGTTCCTGAGCCTCCAC